TGAGTAGTATTCTATTGTATATATACACCACATCTTCTTTATCCATTCATCTACTGATGTACACTTAGGTTAATTCCATATCTTGGCAACTGTAAAGGTTAATTCCATATCTTGGCAACTGTAATTAATGATGCTATAAACACTGGAGTGCATGTATCTTTTCAAATTAGTGTTTTCATTTTTTTTTTAATATATATACCCAGAAGTGGAACTGCTGGGTCATATGGTAGTTCTAGTATGCACATGTTAACAATGTTAAGTCTTCCAATCCATGAACATGGGGCGACTCTTCATGTATCTATGTCTTCTTTAATTTCTTTCAGCAATATTTTGTACTTTTCTGTGTACAAGTCTTTAACCTCCTTAATTAGGTTTCTTCTAAGTATTTTATTCTTTTTTTTTTTTTTAGCGGTACGTGGGCCTCTCACTGCTGTGGACTCTCCTGTTGCAGAGCACAAGCTCCTGACACGCAGGCTCAGCGGCCATGGCTCACGGGCCCAGCCGCTCCACTGTATGTGGGATCTTCCTGGACCGGGGCACGAACCCATGTCCCCTGCATCGGCAGGCAGACTCTCAACCACTGCGCCACCAGGGAAGCCCTATTTTATTCTTTTTGATACTATTGCAAATGAGTTAATTTCATTTCCTTTCCAGATCATTAATTAATGTATAAAAATGCAACTGATTTCTGTGTATTGACTTTTTATTCTGAAACTTAGCCAAATTCATTTATTAGTCTAACAGATTTTTGCATGTGTGGAATCTTGACAGTTTTCTACATATAAGATTATGTCCTCTCTGAATTCAGAGATAATTTTACTTCTCTTTTTTCTTTTCAACTTAGATGTCTTTATTTCTTTTTCTTGTCTAACTGGTTTGACTAGGACTTCCAATACTATGCTGAATAGAAGTGGTGAGAGCAGGCGTCCTTGTCTTGTTCTTGACCTTAGAGGAAAAGCTTTCAGTTTTTTAACCATTGATTGTGCTGTTAGCTGTGGGTTTTTCCTAAGTGATCTTTATTATGTTGAGGTAGTTTCCTTCTATTCCTAGTTTGTTGAGTGTTTTTATCATGAAAGGGTGTGGAATTTTGTCAAATGATTTTTCTCCATCAGTTAAGATAATCATGTGGTTTTTGTCTTTCATTCTATTAATGTGGTGTATTACATTGGTGATTTTCCTACGCTAACCAGTCATCTATTCCAGAAATAAATCCACTTTGTCATCGTGTATAAGCTTTCTAATGTGCCGTTGAATTCAGTTTGTTAGTATGTTGTTGAAAATTTTTGTTTTAATATTCATCAGGAATATTAGTCTATAGTCTTCTTTTCTTGTAGTGTCTTTATCTGTCTTTGGTATCAGGGTAATGCTGCTCTCAGAGAGCTTAGAAGTGTTCCATCCTCTTCAGATTTTTGGAAGATTTTTAGAAGAATTAGTGTTAATTTTTATTTAAATATTAAGTAGAATTCTCCAATGAATTCATCTGGTCCTGGGTTTTCCTTGTTAGGAAGTTTTTTAATACTATTTAAATCTTACCCATTGTTAAATTGTTCAGATTTTCTGCTTCTTCATGATTCAGTCTTAGTACATTTCTAGGGATTTATCCATTTCCTCTAGGTTATCCAACTTGTTGGTATACAATTATTCATAGTATTCTCTTCATTAAGTTGTTTCTCTATGTTCTCACCAATTACTTTAAATTCTTTGTTGGGCAGCTCATAGATCTGACTTTTTCTTTTTTTTTTTCATGTACCAAAATGTTCATTGCAGCTCTATTTACAATAGCCCAGAGATGGAAACAACCTAAGTGTCCACCATCGGATGAATGGATAAAGAAGATGTGGCACATATATACAATGGAATATTACTCAGCCATAAAAAGAAATGAAATTGAGCTATTTGTAATGAGGTGGATAGACCTAGAGTCTGTCATACAGAGTGAAGTAAGTCAGAAAGAGAAAGACAAATACCGTATGCTAACACATATATATGGAATTTAAGAAAAAAAAATGTCATGAAGAACCTAGGGGTAAGACAGGAATAAAGACACAGACCTACTAGAGAATGGACTTGAGGATATGGGGAGGGGGAAGGGTAAGCTGTGACAAAGCGAGAGAGCAGCATGGATATATATACACTACTAAACGTAAAATAGCTAGTGGGAAGCAGCTGCATAGCACAGGGAGATCAGCTCGGTGCTTTGTGACCGCCTGGATGGGTGGGATAGGGAGAGTGGGAGGGAGGGAGATGTAAGAGGGAAGAGATATGGGAACATATGTATATGTATAACTGATTCACTTTGTTATAAAGCAGAAACTAGCACACCATTGTAAAGAAATTATACTCCAATAAAGATGTAAAAACAAAAAATCAGTTTCAGTTTTTGGAGTTTTTGTTTGTTCCTTTGATTGGGCCATGTTTCTGTGGTGTGTGTGTGTGTGTGTGTGTGTGTGTGTGTGTGTGTATTTTTTTTCTTGGATTGGCACTCTTAGGCTTTGTATAGAGCCTTTGTGAAGAGTAAGACCTTTCACCAGTTAGCCCAGCTGGAGGTTCCTGAACTTCTCAAACGTTTTCTCACCTCTTGCTTTCCCCATGTCTGCCTGCAGAACTGCAGCTCTGCATCTCCTTGCTTCAGCTTTCACTAGCTTCCAAACTTCTTCTGGTCCTATAAGCACTCTGTGTCAGGCAAGACAGAAACCAGTCCCTTGAGTAGCCACCAGACAATCCAGGCTGTTGGATATACAGTCCACTCTTGTTTTTATCTCAAAGGAGGATCCCTGCTATACAAGGTTTCTTCTTGGTGCCTCCACACCAAATGCTGAGATTCCTTTTGTTGGAATCTCTTCTTGGTTTTGCAGAGGCCTGGGTGCTGTAGTTTTTCAGCTGGTCTCTAGAGCCCTTACAAAGGTATTGTGTCCACATACTGTTGTTAACTCAGCATCTCTGTGGGACAAAGAGGGCATAGCTTCCTAGTCGGCCATCTTACTAAAGTCACCATTTTCTAAGTCTAGAGTGGATTATCTTGTTTTACGATCACCACTTGTTGTCTTTTGTATTTTCACTTTCTTGAACAAATGATTCTCTTATCACTCTTTTCTCCATGTCGTAGCCATAATATAGCCTCTATTGTACTTATTCATATTCAAAATTAACTTTGTTTTTATTTTACTCTATTTTCCTATCCACTCAGACTCCCACTATTAACTCAGCAAATCTCAATGTCAAGATAGATGACGTAGGCAAAATCAAAAATCTATCAAAAATCTATGTTTATTGGGGCTTCCCTGGTGGTGCAGTGGGACACAGGTTCAAGCCCCGGTCCAGGAGGATCCCACATGCCATAGAGCAACTAAGCCCGTGTGCCACAACTACTGAGCCTGTGCTCTAGAGCCTGCGAGCTACAACTACTGAGCCCATGTGCCACAACTACTGAAGCCCACATGCCTAGAGCCCATGCTCCATCACAAGAGAAGCCACCACAATGAGATGCCTGTGTACCGCAACAAAGAGTAACCCCCACTCACCACAACTAGAGAAAGCCCACGCAGGAACGAAGACCCAATGCAGCCAAAAATAAATAAATAAAATAAAATTTAAAAGTAATCTATCTTGGGATTCCCTGGTGGCGCAGTGGTTGAGAGTCCGCCTTCCGATGCGGGGGACGCGGGTCCGTGCCCCGGTCCGGGAAAATCCCACATATCGCGGAGCGGCTGGGCCCTTGAGCCATGGCCGCTGGGCCTGCGCGTCCGGAGTCTGTGCTCCGCAACAGGAGAGGCCACAACAGTGAGAGGCCCGCGTACCTCAAAAAAAAAAAAAGTAATCTATCTTTATTGTTCCTTGTGCTATTTAATATTATAGCTACTATTGCCACATCCTAAGTCTCAGTTACTTATAATCATTTACCCTCTTTAAACTTTAATAACATATATATCCCATGCACGTGTGTATGTGTGTGTATATTCTGTATCTATTTCTCTATTATCTATCTATAATAGTGACAGTAAATTTCTGAATTCTGATATGTTGTGTTTAGAAAGTATCATGTAGGGAATTAGATGATCGATGAATGCATTAACATAATGAGAAAAATTCTCCAGGTGTGAATTCTCATGAAGGATTTATTTTATATGTATACAATAACGATTTCATAGTAAGGATCTTTTGTGATAGAAGACCATTGTGAAGACAGTTGTAACAAAGAAAAGGATCCATCAATATATTTCATACTACATATGGACAAGTGAAGGCTCTTCTTTGGTTTATATTTCTAGCCAGTTTATACTTTTGGAGCTCACAAAGTTTTGCAAGCTTCTGGTTGAAGGGAACACTTTTTCCTCAATCGATTGTTTCTAACATGGCCACTGTGGATTCCTAGTGGTCACAGTCATGCTTCATAACTTGAAATTAAACTTCAGTGCCACTAAAAACATTATTTTAAGCGAAGAGTAGTTTTGATCTTTAGCTCTTTGCTTTCTCTGTTGTATTATTCAGCAGCCTTTTCCACATTTACAACTCCATTTTCCACATTTTGCCTCTTTTGGGGGGAGCACAAATATTTCAGGAAGACTTTAGAGCTTTGGAAAGGCATCCTGCAGTTTTTTTGCATTAGTGTTTACTTTTTACAGCATTACATTTAATATTGTTTATCTTGATTCCTGACTTTTTTGGAGGGAAATGAGAGTGCTTCATTTCCCTCACGCTGGTCCTGGCACTGAGAAAAGTACTCAAAGAGGATGGTTACAAAGACAACAAACAAACCTTCCCAGAATTCTGTCAAACAGGCCAATTAATTAAACAAAGTAGATATTACATATCTAAGCATACTGGACAGCCAGTAAGTGGATTTTCTCACTAATTTAGAGAAAACCCACTGCTAGAAGTGTGGGTAGGTAAGAAAGATAATAAAGCTTTTCAAGGGTGAGCACTTCCTTTTGCTTCTCTTGCCTCATAGAACTGTAGTTTTTTCTTTTACACAAGTTTAGTGCCACATTCTTCTCTTTGCAATGGACAGACAGGTGATATATGCTGATTTAAACGTATCCAGGAATGCTGGCCTTGAAAGCTCATCACCCCCATCTCTTCCTCAGAGTAAGTGGCTTTAATTTTCCTTTTGGCATTTGTATATCTTCCATAGTTAGATTTTTCTCTTAAAACTGTAGCTTTAAATCATGGCTTTGAAGATGAGCAGCAGCTATATTAATGTTGAATAGATATAACATGGCCTGTCCGTAGGTAATCACAAATGTGGGAAAAAGCACATACCTTATAGATTTCTTTTTTATCAAGATACTTTTGTGAAAAATGAATATAGTTCCTATTACTGAGCCTTGGCTAAAGGATCCTGAAGAAATATTTTACATGCATGAACAAAGAAATATTTTGATTTTTTTATTTGTTTTTTTTGCCACACCATGAGGGATGCGGGATCTTTGCTCCCTGACTGGGGATAGAATCCGTGCCCCCTGCGATGGAAGGACAGAATCTTAACCACTGGACCACCAGAGAAGTCCCTTTTTTGTTGTTTTTGCTTTTGTTTTTTTTTAACAAATGAATATTATTAGAGATTTTTTACTACCTTGCTGTAATAGTAACCTACCTTATTTCAAATCCCTCTATAAAATACTGTGATTAAGTTCCAATGCATTTGCATCCGTGGCATTCCTTTCAGAATACAAAGTGTAGGCTCAATGATTAACATCGTTCACCCTTCAAAGGAAAGGGAAAAAAATGTTCTGAAAGAAAATTATGTTCAAGATCAAAAACTTGAATATAATAACAATCTGATGTTTTTTAAATTGAAAAGTATAACAGTTTAGAAGGATTTAAGCCACAAACCACAGGAGAATAACACTGATGCACTTATTTCATACTGGTTGAAGTTGGCAATTTTCTGTATGTCAGAGGAGTTAGTATTCTGAGTGAAAGAGATGGGGAATTCTAATGTGAGGTCATAGGTGATGGATTCCATGGCCTGGGGATAGATGAAGAGAAACTACAAATTAAGCAGAAAAAAAATGTATAAAATCATCAGGATATAGTATCACATTCTGAAGTCAAACCAAACTTACTAAACATCAATAATATTGCAACTTTTATCCAACCTGATATTCATTCCATAGTGTGCTTGGCAAGCGGGTTGTATCTTTTTAGGATGGTTTGGTATAATTTGAAAGTATTAAGTTATCAGTGTTCTAAATTGGAGATTGAAAAGTCTTAGGGTTATCAAATAGTTTCATGATACCATTCATTTGGAGGTTATGGGAAATTGGAGAATTTTGATAATTACAGTGAGAATTTGTCAAGCCAAGGTTATTTTTTGATGCGAAAGAGAAAGACTTTCTGTTCCCTATTCAGATCTAGCAGAAGTGGAGAGAAAGGAGGATGGTGTTGGAAGATATTGGAGAATGAAAATAGAGAAAGACAGCGAGATTTTCCTTAAAAGCCACTCTCTGTGATCCCAAATCAACGAGGCCAGAAAATCTGTCTATTCTAATTGTCATCATTATTCCACAAAATATCATTCTAAAAGTAAATCTGAGAAAACATAGAATAAAGTCAGAACAAAAATGTATGACTACAAAACGCTTGTCAACTGAAAAAAAATGCCTAACCTAAAAGTTGAGAATTATGTATTTGGTGGCTTTACAGAGGACTATAGCTAAGAAGGCAGCCTCTCTGATAGTTCTGAGGAAATGTCCCCAAGCAGTAAGGGAGAAGTTGGGATATACAGGAGTTTTGCTAAAAAAAAAAAAAAAAAAAAAAAAGAATGTAGTCAAACATCAAAAGATTACTGCTAATCACAAAAATAGACACCTCAAGTTAATGATTTTAGTGCTTTTCTATATGTGGGAAGATGCAAAAGTCTGGGCTCATTGAAATAATTCCTTTGACATGCATCTTAACTATCTAGGGCCAGTATCCTGTTTTTCTCCATCCTGGATTCCCCTCAAGTTTTACTATCCGGGCAGCTGCACTGGCTGGTGGTTTTAAGGTCGCAACATCCTTTGTTTACTGAAATGGCAGGTGACGTTCTTTCGCCACACATTGATCTGGTATTACAATTCTTGTGAAACTATCACTAAGCTCTTTGGCTAAACAGTTTAGCCAAAATGATAACTATAGAATAGTGATTATATCAAAAGCAGTCAGGAAAACCAGAGAGAGATGTGAGTTGTGATGAATCTGGTTGAGAGACAAAGGTATGCTTCCTGGGAGAAGAGCCTTTTAAAAGATGGACCAGTGCAGGTGCAAGATCTGTGGGATGAGAACATGCCTGTCGTCTTGTAGGAGGAGCTCATAGGTTAGTGTGAAATGACAGAGCATGTCTGCATGGAAAGCAGCAGGAGACGAAGTTAGAGACATAAAGGGAAGCAGGAAT